TCTTCTCAGCGCACGTCCTTTGAAGCACTGACCAGACCTTACTCGGGGACTGTGAGTAATACCTCTCTGGGCTAATAATCCAGAGCAGGTTTGATTGGAGATGTCGTCGAAGCTGGATAAACGCTACGTCACATTAGCTTTCATTGATTTGGTCTCATTACGAAGTAGTGCAACGGCTTGGGCCCCATTGTGATTGAGGTGTGCGCGCGATCTCCAAGCAAAGGTAGTCAAGTTAGTTTGCTGGTTCAACAAACAAGGCTTGTGTACATTTTATGTGTATCAGCCAATCTGATCTAGGACAAGGTAACGCTCGTGAGATGGGTGATAGCAGGCCTGGCAGTGGAAAATGAAGTCGCCGACAGACCGCTGCAACCCTAGTCTCGCTGCAGTGGCATTATAAAGTCAAATGTAGCCCAAACATTCGTATGTACCCATGTTACTACCTTCGCAAAACTGTTTTCCGATATCAGCCACCGTCGCATACTGCACTGTCAAACTTTATACTAACTTCATCAACCAGAGGAAATTTCAGAGCAATATATGTCCTCACGTGGCCTATGGTTCGTCGGTCATTCCATATTTAGCTAGATGTCTGTTTGACCACGACGTTGTCATTCAAGACTTAACCAGTAAATTTTACCAGTGCGTTCAATGAACTTTTTCCTTTGCCTCTGTTCCGCTACCATAGAATAACTGCTTTTCCTCATGTCGGTGGCATACCTGTGTTACGGATGAAGATTCACCGGTCATAAAAGCGTGTTATTAACTTGATTTGCACGGCTTCAGTCCTATTCGCATTACAGGCCACTGCGCCTGGCTCGGGGCATAACAGGATAGGGTCATCGCTATCGCCCTTGCAAATGGGATTACATGAGTCTGTGGGATGGGGTTGCTTGGGACACGGGACAGTGTGCCATCATAACATTGCTTCACCGAATCTGCTGTAGCTTGACTTGGCAATCATCTATTTGTGACCTTGCTTTGCCACAGTGTCTTAAACGTTTACTTTGGGTATTTAGACTTAATCGGTCTCCAGTCTCCTCTGATCATTATTGTGTATTTATAAGGCATTCTGGATTGGGCGGCAGCAAACCGTAGGCATAACTAGTTAGTTTACAGCCGTTCTAAATCATTCTCTACCTCCTTAATTCAACTTGCTTTTGTTATACATCCATAATGCTCCGGGTTTTCTGTAAAGTTAGAGTTCCTTGGTGTAGAGTTTCGTGCACCGCACTTGGTGCATTATTCCACGCAAACTGCTCCATTAACTAGTTTTACCATTCTCTCGCTGCATTAGTAATGGTTCGCTGGTCAACTAAGCCCGACTGAATTGCCTTTTCATGCTTCATGATTTAAGGCAACAAGTAACCATTCCATGCTATCCAAAGTCGGCGCCCCCTTAAGCACATGCAGCTTGAGAAGTCTCACGTAATAATCTACATTGACGGTTAACGAGCAGTATAAGCTAAAATAATTCCCCACTAGAAGCTGTCGTTTTGTGAGACCACAAGGAACGTTGAATTAGTGTGGCACTATATGGGATCTATTTGCGCAGTAGCGGATAGCACCCTTGTCTTGAGTTACTTAGGAAACATTAAAATTTATACACCAGTCATTTGCGTCTAAAATTTTTCTAGTTGTTACTATTTTACCTGTTGCAATCCTTATATTATTGCAACGAACAAATTTGTTTGTAGTTTCCAGATTTTTAATATTCTGCTGCGTTAATATTGAGTATTGTAGAATACCCAGTAGCTGAGGTGCTTTACACCTCTAGCTAACATGTATAATGATGATGATTGCAGAATACATATTGTATAATTGGATCTAGTAATGAGGAGGTTCATGAATACAAATCAATTCTGGTGCAATTTGCTGGGGTGGAAGCTATTTAGTCTGTCAATATCACATTGTTGATAGCTTAAATAGACCGTACCTCTTTGTTTTCCTACGGCAACTCAAAGCTACTCATCAGTGGAATGCTCTACAAAATCAAGCCACGAAACCATGCTGATGTGATGTATACACATTCAAGGCAGCGTGCTCTGTCCATCGCTGTTCATACTCTAAATCAGTAACATCAACATGTCCGTAAAACAAGCTCGACTATTTTTGTTCTCCGACGATAAGAAGATCCCCGATAAGCTTCGACGTGACAAACTTCACGAAATACTGCTGATCATTCAAGATGGCTTATATTTGCTTGAGGTATGCTTTCACTCGTGGCTGATGTCACTGTCGGATAGAAAATCAATAAGCACGTCTTAAGGCTGTTCCATGCTGAGAGATCTGTTGCACACAAATGTGAACATGTTTGTATACAACTGTCCAAGCGTAATCTTGAAAGTAAGTACTCAGCGAGCTTCAGCTTCTCTGAGCAGATCCAAAACAAAACAGCACGAGCCAGGCAACCCAATAGAACTCACACAATCTATGTCAGTGTTGAGTATTGTTAAGCTATTCACCCGTTCCATCCTCAAATACTGTAGCATAATATACTATGACATGAAAAAGAGTGAGATAATTGCTCTGAAACACACGCAGAGTTCGTTTACTCCACATCTGATTGGTAGGTAATTTGCCAAGAGACTCCAACTTGAACAACTTTGGATGCGACAACTGAAGCATAACTTGCTGCTGCTTTACAACCTGCTGCACAAAAAGATCTATTCTGATCTACCACCAATTGAATTGCAATACTGCTCAATTTGCTAAAAGGATTATACACTGGTTTTGCTAGACTAAAGGAAGTATGCGCTCCAATTTTCTTCCGGTCAAATATAATTATCTATGAAGCAAACTGCTTGTCCCACTCAGATCATGTGAAAGCGTGGTAATATTTAGTAACAACCTCGCAGGCTACCTTGACCTAAATACAATAATGACTATATTCACATGGGGAAGATCACTCAATAAACTCTTCCCACATCGACCCAAAATTTTCTGAGAACCTTTTCTCAGCCGATTACATCCATAAAGATTTCAAATTCCTCCTAAGGAAATCCCGTTCTCAAGAGGACCCTTAGAGCTATCAAACTGCATCCAGCGGTCGTGAAAGCTCCTAAAATATGCGTACTGTACGTTGAGTGAGCAAATCAGCCGATAGTATAATATGAGTACACAGAGTGGGATGCTGTTGGTTTATTTGAGATTGGTCACTCAATGAACGGTAGCTTTGAGGGGCGTTCGCGCTCATTGGATGCAACTTGATAGCGTTAGGAACCATGCTGAGAGATCTATGAGGGAGAATGATTCCCTTAATGAGGAATTTGAAGGTGCTCTGGATGCAGTTGTCTGCGAAAATGTATAGTTTCCAAAACTTAATTTTCCCCATCCACTCATCAATCTTCCCAATGATGCACAATTCCTACATGTGTTATCACGGTGAATACGCTATTTAAGTTTGAAGCGTGAACTGGAGGTGATAAGGGCACCACAACTCAGGGCAACAAAGAATGTCAAGGGTCTACGAAATTTCTCTTACCAGCAAAGGCTGAAGTTACTGGGATTTCTCAGCGGACTCTACCGACGACTACGCGGTGATATCACATTAGTGTACTAAGTATGGAGTGGCCCCAAACACGTATGCTGCCATTTACTGAAATCTAGCCACAACACCAATCTCAGATATAATTACTTGAAACGGAATGAACAATACAACTGTCTAGTATGTTGGAGGAATTATATTTCGGGTTTAGCAACCTTGGAACTCTCTCCCGAACTCAGTTGTCTCCTCCCCTAATTTGAGTCATTCAAGACAATAGTATGACCGACACTGGAATACTGTACTATCGTTCACAGCCAATTGAGAAAGACAGAACGGCTCTGGAAAATATCCAACGATCGTTTAGCAAGCTGGTCATGGAGCGCTGCTCAAACCTGAGTTATTATGATCGTTGTCGAAAACTCCAACTGGATCCTCTTTGGCTGAGACGCTTAAAGAACAACCTCGTTCTCTTCTACAACATTATAAACCAACGAATTTACGTAGACAGCACCGCACTTGAAGTACGGAAGACTGCAGTCTACCCCATACGTAATGGCGGCTACTTGATACGCACAAACCTGTCAAGTCATAGAACTCGATCAAATTTCTTCTTAGTGAGATACACTGATCTGTGGAACAAACTACCCCTACAGATACGCATGAGTGCAAGCTGTCACATTACGAAATTCCCTACAGACGTTCCTCACTATACCAAATATGTTGAAGATATTTGACTCACAGCAAACTCTAGAAACATTGACAGAAGCTGGTATAAAAACATATGAGCAGATATGCGCTTACAACTAGCTTATCCACTACATGTCATTACCCACAATACCAAATGCTGTGTTTGTGTAGTCTAGTATCGCCTCCCTTTATTAGCTACTTCTGAGCCCCACAAACTAGAAAATGATGATACAAATATCGGTCAATTTTACGTATTAGTTACTGGGGTCTAGGACCCGAGGAATATTAAATCATGATCTGAAGTTCTATTATTTAACTTTCCTTTACTATTATGATTTACGCCGCATAAACCATGAAACCTATTCACTATATAAATGATCGCTCCCGCTTATGGGACCGTGTACCGTTTGTCGGTAAATATACAAATTTAGTTAGTTATTGGATGTTGCACTTAGCTCCCATCACTTCGTTGCCTAAGCTATGCTACTGTGGAATATTTTTGTCGTGCCCTCACACCGGATTTTATGTCCCATGGACCCAAGGAAGTGGGTACATGAGTGAGCAAGCGTATTTCGATTTTTCTCACACAATACGTCAGCTATCACTGCGCCCCATGTTGTTCTGTATGCTTGCATTCAATTCTTATTTTGCACTATCGTTATCTGGCAACACATTTAACGTGCCATTACAGACAGAGTTTCTCGAATCATGAGAAATAGTACTACTGTTATACTAGACAAATAGTTAGAACCTGATGAACTTTGAGCTAATATATCATACTACCTGTATGGCTTTGCATCAATCCACAACGTGACCTCATACTCACCGATCGACTGGCCAGCCAATACGGCCAAATTCACCTCGGATCCAATGAGCGAGAAAAGTAGGGGTTGGACGAACCACCAGATTGCGGCCATCATTTGCCTCATGGAATTCACACAAGCCAAGCCGCGTTCTTTCGGGGTGGCCGGACGGTGGGTGCTCACACCGTCCCAACCACCGGACCCCATGGCATTGATGTTCCGATCCGGTGGTTCCAATGGACCTTGAACCTCGCTTCTTTTAGCCTTCCCATCAGCTGGATCGTAATCGAGCTCCTCTATCCCTTCCAGCTTGTCCACCGGCTGATTGTATATACCCGCATATTGTTCACGGAACGGAGGCGAAACTGTGAGAGTCAGAAAATGTTGGAGATTTTAACCAAAACCAAGTATGAAAGTCCCTCGTAGCTGGGATGGATTAAGCGTACTAAAAGATGGAGAACGAGTTTGGAGCCAGTAAAAACGGGTAGCAGTGAAACCAGCAGTAAGAGCAGTCAGGTGGTTAAGTTTATTCGGAAAGTATATAAATAGATGAGAACCGTAAGACAAACAAACCAAAGGTCCTTTGTAAACCGTGCTAAGAGAACCAACGAATTCTACATTGAGACCCGTTGCACAGAGATTTCAATCAGTGTTGTGGTTCTTCCTTTGATGGCAGTTGGTAAAATGTATTTTGCGCACGCTCATTTATAGGGCAGGTTTTATCATGCGAAGTGCCTAGTTAGCTTCTGCGTTCACCTGTTCGCCGAACATCGTAATTAGTATGCAAATGTTTCATCACCAGACAAGGTGACTTCCTCAGTGCGGTGCTAGTCAAATGTACTCCGTTAACTTAGTCATCGATTCGTGATCGATCAGCAAGTTACTTCTGTATTGACCTCGATCTGCGCCCCGTGAGCTTCACCCGTCTGCCCAACTTCTCTGATAGACATGGGGGATCCATGGGATGGTCTTGCTCCGGCTGTTGCGGTTGTTTTTGATTGCTCGTTTAGTTGCTCACGAGGGTATTTAAGCTGTTTCAGTTCTCTCCGTATTGGTTTTTGGTAAACAGGATCAATCTCGATGTGCATGTTCGTCGAATACCAAGCCTCGAGGAATTCACTTCCTTGCAAACACCACCCTCGCCTGCTCGATGTGCACCGCTCTCAAAGCTGGATAAAGTACAGAACGCTAAGCAACCCACTGCGTCAGGTAACAGCACCACGTTGAATGCAAAAATGTGAATCCGAAAAGGCTCCAAGCGAAAGGCATTTGCGGGTATGCAGAATGTTATCGAGTAGTTAAAATCGGTCTGGCTTGTTCGAACTGTTTGCAATGGCATCATCCGAAATGTGTAAATGTGTCCCAACAACAGGTACAAGAACGAAATAGCTCCCAAGATGCACTTTGGTACTGTACTGCGTGCACCACCATCCCATTCGTGAAGTGGTTGCTTACTCTAGCTCAGAAGTGCGATCGGTTAACTGCAGAAGCCGAGCAGAGGATAAAAGATAAGATGAATTTAATGGAAGCGAGTATACACCACGGAAACACATCGGCTTCTAAGCAACGGAATGCTGCACAATCCACTTCCCTTGAACCGCAATCAGCCACATTCCCATCTCGGTTGTCTTCTTCAACGTTGGTAGAACGACGGGCGAAAACTGACCGTACCTACCATAGTCAAACTGTACTCACGGCAATGAAAATCAGGCACCACTTGAAAGGTCTGGTTAAGCAACTTCCACTAGACTTGACATCTAGCATTAACAAGGATGAAGGAGCCAAACACCAACCAACGGCACCTGTAGCTCAAATGTCTCTTGTCGAGACAAAGCCCTCGGAACATCAGTTACATATGCAGTGATTGCTACAAAGGTCCACCGGGAGGCCGCTGTTGCGGCGTCCACTGTTGTAAACGCCGTTAACGAGAATAGAGGGATAAACAGCAAACAATCAACACTTGTCAGTACATCAGGACAAACGAGTACCCTACCTTGCAGTTCAATGAAAAATGGATCCAACAGTAGTGCCCGGACTGTTGTATGCTTAAATGTCCCTGAATCTGCCGCCATCACATTGCGGGCTAAGTTATCGGACGACCAAGACCAGTGGAACTCATTGTGCGTGCTGATGAGTGTCAAAACCAAGCCCACGAACCTAATACGAATTACTCGTCATCCGAACTCGCCACACTATGGAGAACCCAGATTTATTCCAGTAACAGTAAAGTCCTCCACCAACGTAGAAAATATTTTGTTCTCCACAAGTGCGTTAAGAAGGATTCTGTGGGATACGTATCTACCCTGATATCCCTTGGAGCGTGAGGCAATCAAAAAGAAACCCAGAAGAGGGATACAAAAAGCAAGACCGTCTAAACACAATCTTCATACATGACGTACCAGAACATCCTTCTAAGGATGTTCAACAGACCGGAAAGCACGATTTAGAACAGTGACGGTTCATTTGTGAAACACTTTCTTGGATAATATTGTGGTGCTATCGCTCACCAGGATACTTCTCTCACCAGGATATCTCTCTCACCAAATTATAGAGGATGTGTTCCTAGAATCCTAAAACTTGTGGTTCAGTCAGAGCAACAAGCAACGGATGTTTTGGATCGATGGCGGAGAAATTGGAACCGTCTTCCTTCTTAACTTTGGTTAAGGGTCGCAGAAGCTTTGCACAGCTCAAATATTAAAGCATCTGAAGCAGCAAGCATACCGACGTATGTACAGAAGCATAACTTGACTGTTGCTTTAATTGACTCTGACGTAGTTCTAAACGAAGATTGGGACGCGCCTTGGCCGAATCAAGTTGCAAACGTGGTATCATTATCCCATCAAAAAAACGAGTAACCGCCGACCTCCCATCGGTCGGCATTCTCCAACACTTGACCCCTTCACCACTCTGTGGGCTCCTAGAGACCGAGAAACTGGCCTGCCTGTATACGAATGCTCAGGGTCTCTTTAATTAGCATTGGCGAACTGAAAGATCGCCAAGCTTCCAGGTCATATGATGTCATTGGAATCACCTGGACGTGGTCGCACACGGGAATGACGGACGCTGAAGTTTCGCCACCGGGCATGTCGCTGATCCGGAACGACAGGCTCACAATAGGAGGAGGGGTAATCCTGTATTACCGAAACGACTTACAGTGCGAAGCAGTGAAGGATTCAAACTCGCAGTTCCCCGACTCTCTTTGGTGTCAGTTGTAGTTAAAAGGCAGGGACGATTGCCTTATTGTCTTGGTGTACCGCCCTCGTAACTCTACACCCGAAACCGACTGCCACCTAGCGGCTGCTTTAAGATGCAGTTTACGGCGAAAGTACACTCACATACTTGTCATGGGTGATTTCAATGTACATTGAGTAGAAACTCCTGCCACGATCGGAGAACAATTCAAAGCCGATCTACAAGATTTAGTAACCACTGTTCCTCTTAGCAATGACATCACTTTGCCCACTCGGTTCAGAGCAGGTAACAGGCCATCTGTGCTGGATCTTATGCTTACCAACGAGGAGCATATGATTGATGTGTTGGTTTTAGACTACCCGTGGGGTCACAATGATCACGTAGTCATCAGTTTCAACTTCGTCTGCTATGCGGAATATCAGAATGAAAACGATGAGACTGTGTGAACCATCACATGCTACGATCGATTAGCCTAGCTCGTCAGCGCTACAACTTGGTCGTTCGTTGACGAAGAACCCCCGGAAGTCGCCTGGCTCGAGTTCGTCAAAAAATTCAGTCAGCTGATTGCACAGGCTTCAGAGATAAAAGTTTGCAATAAGTGTAAATCAGTTTCGTTCGTTAGGAGCAGCACTGGAAAATGGATGACAGTATGCAACGCAGCATGGCGAGTGTACAGAGAAGCTCCAGCACCAGAAACTTGGGACAACTACGTAACCCAACGTAACCACTGCACTCAAATGCTAAGAGAAGACGAAGCTTCTATCAGCAGAACATCGCAAAAACCTTCAGTGCTAACCACAAACTGCTGTACAAGCACGTCAATAGCATACGAAAGGTGAGGCAAGGATTTCCTCCACTCGATGGTTGATGGACCAACGAGAACGGCTGTGGAAGCAGCAAACGAGCTGCGGATGCAATATGCCCCACTGTTTCAGAGGGTCTTGCCACCAAGCGACCTTCCAACCTTCGTCTTCACGCCAGAACTAACCCACATCATTTTTACCGCGGAGGCTGTATAGCAAAAGCTGAAGTCTCTACGCAAACACAGCTCGTCGAGTGTCGACACCATTCGTCCCGTGGCATTGGAAGCAGCAGCAAGCCAACTGGCAGGAAATCTAGCTCAGCTTTTCCAGCGCTGCTTAGATCAGAATCAAGTTCCCGCTATGTGGAAGCTTGGAATAATAAGCCCGATTCACAAAAGGTGGAAGCAGAACTGATCCCTCCAACTACCGCTCAGTATCCCTTCTTCCTATACTCTCCAAGGTCATGGAATCCATAGTTGCCGATGCACTGGTGTGCTATCTGGAAAAATGTAACATCATCACACCTGAGCAGCACAGTTTCTGTCGAAAGCGGTCATGTACAACGAATTTACTAATCGCACGCAGTAGTTGGACCAAGGCAGCTGACGCTGGAGAAGGTGTTGATGTGATCTACCTGGATTTTTCCAAGGCTTTCGATCGTCTAGACCATCGGATACTACTCTCCAGGCTCCAGCATTACGGGATCGGCGAACCTGTCTTAAGCTGGATTGCCAACTTTCTACTTCAACGGCAATTAGTGGTCAGAGTCCGGAGCTCTTTATGGAACCTCATACAAGTCGAGTTTGGTGTACCGCAAGGCCCAGTTCTAGGTCCACGTTTGTTTTTGGTGTTTATTAATGATCTTACACAGGGAAACACTTCAAACTTCCTAATGTTTGCCGGCCATATCAAGATCTGGCGCAGGATCCAGGCGAACGCCGACCAGTATCTGCATCAGCGTGACCTAGAACATTATATTTTTGGTAAATTGCATGTATGTCTTCTGAGTGGAGATTTACAACAATTTGCCGAGAAGGGGCAAGTGGCCCGGCATAATAATAATCATCGGGTTTTAAGTAGACTACAAAACTTTTGCACTGAACGGCTTCCGCCGTCACCGTGTGTTTGTGTAAGCCGACACTGAATGTATGGAATATCAGATGGTGGAAATCATTTTAGGAGGACTGGGAGGAAGGTCCCCTAATATACGTATCATACACCATCAGTGCTAGTCAGAGGGCGGAGAAGCAGATATCCGAGATGCCGAGTTTGGTGAAGCCGAGAGTTGTTAAATATTTCGCCGAAGCCTGATATATAAATCCCCGATTGTTTAAGATAATAGGATGGTGGTAAATCTCGCGTGTTTCGGG